CTACTGCTACCGTTGCTGCTACTGCTACTGCTACTGCTCCTACTGCTGCTGTTAATGCTGCTGCTGCTGCTGCTGCCGCCGCCGCTGCTGCTGCTAGTGCTACTGCTACGACGACGACTACTGCTACGATCACTCCTGCTGAAAAATCTTTATTTCTGCTCTTCCCACACCTAGGTGTCCGGTGGACAATTTTAGCCTTTTGTGGTCTTAGGTTTCGTATAAAAACCTTCAAAAGGGAAGCTTTTTTCTTAGGCTACTGGGGACCCCATCTACAACTCCGACGATGACTATTACTGGCCAATACTAGGTTCGCAGTTCGCAGTACTTCGTTAAATGAACATCGCGCAGCTTGCGCATCAAGGTTGGCGGCAATCGGGCGAGGTATAAAGGTAGACTGTGTCTTCACAAACATACCGATTGCACTCCGAACAGAAGTCGCGGCAATTGCTCCATATTTGGTCTTTTCAGTTCAGGGTCGTAGACCTTTGTTTTGTCATGCTGTTTTTGGGGTGTGTAGACTTGCGGTTGCATAGATGCTGAACACAAACAGGCGTTCTCTTCTCGGAGCAATTGAGGCACTTGCGACTTTTCACTTCAGGAAAATGGCGACTGCATTAGTTTTTTGTATGGCCGGCATGCTACATGTCTCGGTGGTTGGCATGGCATGCACGAGCCAGGGAGCATGGAGAAGTGCTCATTCTTGGAGCATCAGGAACGCACGTTGCCGGTGAAGTTTCGTTGGTGCGAGCCGTTCAAAGTTCCGTTCAGGAGTACCCCGGTTTTACATGTACACTCGTCAGGAGATTTCGTTCCTGCCTGATGCCGGATATCCAAGGGTGTTCACGTCTAGTTGTGCCGTGGAAAACTATTGCACAGTCGACGATACAAGGTACAAGGCGTCATGGTCTTTGAACAGCTCCAAAAAACAGGTTCAAAGTTCGCAACTTCATTACATTTGGAACCCAGACTTGGTATCATTGTTTACTCCCCGCAACACAAGTCGGGGCATCAACTTAAGGCAGGATTGGAGTGCATGCAATCATCTCGGGGTTGAAGCTGACATCGTTGCATTTAGTCTGCCATACGGTGTGCTCTACTGTCGAAAGCACAAAAATGGAAGATGTCACACGCACTGAGGCTAGCTATGTCATATAGTGTAAGTTATCAAGTGGTCAGGTGGCATGTTCCTGGTTGCGGCTGGGTTCAGCTGTGCTTTTAATCCATGAACCTTAGCCCAACACCCAAAACTGCTACACCATCCGAAACCCAATTAGGGCCTCACCCCAAACCAGCTTCGCCACCGAAACGGCGGCTTTGTGTTGTCCCATGGCACCCTTTACCATTGTGGGGTTTCTGAAAATCAGGGAGGGTTCCGTACTAGCACGGAAACGACGTCGGGTCTAGAGAACCGTCGTTTGTTTTCTCATATTCCCGTTTCCTTCAAACACCTAAAACCTGAACTCCGTCACCTTGAAACCAACTTTTCTTGCACCTTTCGTGAGTTTTCCGAGGCTTGCCGTCACGCCGGAGGTCTGGATTCAGAGAGTAGGGGTCTAGGTTTATGCGTTAGGGACTTGCTGGGAGGAGGGTTTGCGGAATAGGTTTCAAGGATTTTTGTTGGGATTAACTGGAGTTTGCGGTTTCTGGGGCTAGGGCTGTGGAGATAGCGTTTGGCTTGACCGGGCTGCCGGACAACGAGGCCTGTTGCAAAAAGGTTGTCTTCAGGTGCATGCTTACGAAGTTATGGGATTGTATAGGATTCAGGTTGTTGTCGGAAAGAGAGGTTTGGATTTCTGGGGCTACGGCCCGGGGCTAGGGTCGGCCGAAGGCATGCCGAAACCACGTCCGCGTCCGGAGGAGTGCTTCCAATCTCCGGGTGACGTAGAGTGTATCGTAGTTTTATTGCCTTCCCGCAAAACAGGGCCTTGGCGAACTCATCTGCGTTGGTTTCAGTGGGTAACGTCTTCGATGTTCCGATATTCGTCCTGCAGCCTGGTACTGCAAATCAGCTCACGGAGGCCTGTACTGAGCTTGCAGGCGACGGAGACAGCTGGCACAAGCACTCTTTAGAGCCGTATTCTCGCGATCGGATGCCTTCTATCTCTTGGTGGTCGTGCCGTTGCTTTTTGATGGAAAAGTCTTGAAAAAGGATAGCTTCAAAGTTGCACCGTTGGATAAGCAAGCACGCTTCCAGGCATTCTCCTTGGAGTGTTTGGCAGATGATTCAACGGCACTTGTAGGGTCTTATAGGGTCTAGGCAGGGGTGGTGGGCTCTTTGGGTCATTGGGTATGCGGAGCGCTGCAGGTGATGAGAGCCACAAGGACAGCATCGAACTGAGTGCCAACATCAAAATCCAGGAAGCGTTACGACGAAGATTCCTGAATCCAAGTTCTCAGTCCTACACTGACTGAGCTCAAACCCTAGCCCTAAACTTGAGAGATCCTTGACACTTTTTGTGGTTTGGTCTTGCTAGTAAAACGGATCTTTTTCCTTTCATAGGGTCCAAGTAAACCCCTGAGAAGCCATGACCGCCCTTTTCGTAACAGCTGAACCTTCACGAAATTTTACAAGGTCACGTGTGCATAGTTTGCCCGGCGGTTTGGGTGGGCTGGGCTTGTTCTTCGAATCTGGAAATACTGCAATTGCCTCCCACTTTTCAATCCCTAGAGATAAACTCAAAGACTTAAGACATACGGAACCCTACGCAAACTACAGCCGAAAGCTTGTTGACATAGCAAACTCAAAAGACGCCGTAACATCAACAGCTGACGCAGAGCAGGCCACACGGCCCGGCAGCACCCGCGCGTCACGACCAGGCCACTCCCTTCCTCAGGCTTTTCAACTAAGCTTATGATTTTGGGCTTCTGTTTTGCAAAAAGGGTTTCATATAGGGGCCTTAATAATTGGAACAGGGTTTTGGGGCACATATAATAGAACTATCGTAAGGAACCCACCAAATAGTATTGGTAATTATTTCGGCCCCTACATTAGGGTTTGTCATGGCGGATGTATAGGTTGAGGTATATGGAACAATGAGGGAGCTGTAGGATTTACGCGGTTGGGAATGAGGCAGGGTTTGGACGGATGGTCGGGTTGCCTTTAACATTCAGGGCTGACGGCCTACGGTTGTAGGATTGATATAGCAGCTTCGTGTTCAAGATGTCAGGCGTCACCTCTAACCTCTAAACCCTACCAAACTGGTGGGTTGTAACCCCTTAATTCGGGGGTATACTGCATAGCAGTGTAGCCTTGATAGCTGTAGGTTGTCGGAGATACCGACAAGTCTCGGGCAAACACATAAGGGCTCAGCCACGTGGGCTGGCACTTTTCCTGAAACACGGCGTTCGAGTCTAGAGCTTACGAAGTAAATGTCTTGACCTAGGACCTACTGACCTTAAGCTGAAAATGAACATAAACTTTCTGAGACCGCTGGAACTGGTTTTGGGACTCCTGTCTGAAGGGGTTCAGTGACGGATGGTTGACCTGGGAAGTCCCGAAACCTAAACCATTAGGTCTAGGGTTTAGGGTTAATCTTGATCCTCATAAGCTGCACCCTAGCCTCGAAGACCTAAATCCTAATCCAAAAGCCTCCAGGAGACTCAGTGGGTAACCCCGGCAGAACCCCTCAACAGTCACTCAAACGCAATGCTGCTCTAATCATTAGGGTAGTTCTCTAAATTAGGGTCCCTTTTTCGGGTTCCTTTTTAGAAATAAGGGTGCCGTACTCTATTGGGGACGCAAAAGGGGCCCTGGGACCCTAATTTAGAGAACTACCCATTAGTGCTCCTCTACTTTGATCAAAGGGCAATGTAGGTTCATAGCCCTCCGGCCTTCAAAGTCCAAAGAGATTGGGGGCTTAGGCTTTAGGGTCTCAGGGCTCTTAAGAGCCTTCGAAAAGCCAGGATCAAATCTTATAGACCTCATGGAGCCTTGTAGAATGGCTCAGTTGTCAGACCTTGGGTAGCAAAACGAAGGAGGCAGCTTCTTGTGTGGATGGCGCAGACTCTTTTTGTCATGATTTAGGGTTTAGGGTGGGCCTTGCTGCACGCGGACCTACAATATGGGAAAGCCGGCAAAAGCCCCTGAAAACCAGGTTCTACAATACAAATAATCCCAAATCTCTGGACACCACTCTCCCCCCTTCTCAAAAAAGTCGGAAACAACTCAGCCCCCCTCCTACCCAGCCTCCCTCCCAGGCAGCCAAAGCCGACGGGTCTCCGTGGAGGAGAGGAGGAGGCTTTTCCGAGCAGAATTTGGTGTTGGTACTCTTGTCTATAGCAGAGGGTCTGAAACAATGCGAACAGAGTCCAGTCCTAAGTTGGGGACTGGTTGTTCGTGGCTTACTACAATATTAATTTTAGGATGCTTAACAGGGGCTTGAAGGATGTTCAACAATAAGGGCGGGTTACATGTGTTTCAACGGTCTTTACAGAGACTTAAGGAATTTGATGGGTGTTTGAAGGGCTGATTGAAAGGCCTGAATAGCTAGAGGAGGTCTTTGGTTTAATGCCATGAACTTTTGTGGGTTCCATAGGGTTGGCAGGAATAGATGCTACTGGTAGTTACAAAAACTATTCCTTCGCGTCTCCCAATGCAGCCGCCAAGACCCTACGCCCACACCTTAAACCTTCGGAACCTTGTAGGCAAACCCTACAATCTAAGCCCTAAGCTCCAAGCCCGAGCCTTATATCCAGGCTTGTAAAGGAAGGCTTTGGCAAGCTTTGGTGATAAGAGCTTTAGACTTCATTGTTTAGCTTGCAGGGTTTGTAGCGTTTTAGGGTTTATATATACGGTCCTCAAAAAGACCAGTAATACTGTTCTTCGAGCTTCCTTAGTGTCGCATTATATACCCCGAAACATTACGGTCCCTAGGTCTAGAGTCTACTCCAGCCTCCTCTTTAAGTAGTCTTGAAGTGGGTAGTTCTCGAAATTAGGGTCCCTTTCTAGGTCCCCAACTTAGTACGGCACCCTTATAAAAAGGACCCTAAAAGGAACCTAAACCCAAAACCCAAAACCCTTTTGAGACCAAACATAGAAGCCTAAATAATTACTTATATTATTCCTTAGGTTCCTTATTATAATTATACTAATAAAGGAGCCCAAAACCCTATTCTACTTCTTAAGGCCCCTACATTAAACCCTAAACCCTAAACCTAAACCCTAAACCCAACCCTAAACCCCTAATCCCCACCGAAAAACAAACCCAAGCCTAAACCCTGGACCCTTTAGAGACTTTTCGAAGATCCTGCCAGGGCTGAAGGACGGAACGCCGAGGAGCGCCCCTTGATGCTGGAGGGTTTCAGGGTCTTTAGGATTTGAGTGTCTTTATGGTCTTTAAGGGGTTTAGTGTTTATGCTGGCTTTGGGGGTTTAGGGTCTTTAGGGGTTCATGTTTTAGGGTCTCTAGGGTTTTAGGGTTAAGGTCTTTAGTGGTTTAGGGCCTTTAGGGTTCAGGGTCTTTAGGGGTTTAGGATCTTTAGGGGTTCATGTTTTAGGGTCTCTAGGGGTTTTAGGGTTAAGGTCTTTAGTGGTTTAGGGTCTTTAGGGTTCAGGGTCTTTAGGGGTTTAGGATCTTTAGGGGTTCATGTTTTAGGGTCTCTAGGGGTTTTAGGGTTAAGGTCTTTAGTGGTTTAGGGTCTGTAGGGTTCAGGGTCTTTAGGGGTTCAGGGTCTTTAGGGTTTAGGGTTTTGAGGGTCTTTGGGGGTTTTAGGGGTATAGGGCTTAGGTCTTCAGGGGTTTAGGGTTCAGGGTCTTTAGGTTGTAGGGGTTTCGGTTTAAGGGTTCAGGTTTAGGGGTTTAGGGTCTTTAGGGTCTTCAGGGTTTAGGGTTTGGGGTTACGGTAAGGTTAGGTTCAGGAAGTTGGTATTTTGCATACCTTGGGAGGGCCATGCCCACGACAGTGGCCTGACGCTCTAGCCATCGCCGGGTTTAGACCTCTTGCGTGCGGTGTTTTCGTTTTTTCTAATGGATATGTCAGTATACCAGTAGATGACATGCGTGCTATACATTTAAATAGCGTGATGTGGCAACACGCGTATGGTATTGCTGCAAGCACACAGCGCTGGCATGCTCGTGCTTTTGTCTGGTTTCCTGATGCGATTGTGAATGAAGGAGTGTTTGTGTAATGTACGGATGTACGCATGTACCTTCGCATACAGTATTTGCGTGCAGCTATGTGCAGGCCGAAAACATGTCCGTAGGCCATCATAAGAGCCTTGTGGAGCACCTTTCCCTGAATCCCTGAAGACATAGGCTCACTTTTAAGAATCGGATGAGAGATGACGCCCTGATGAAAAGATCGAAACCCGCAATGAATAATCCTTAGGACCATGTCCCGCTAAGTCGAAACCTCCTAAAGTGAAGTCCTGGAGCCTGACTCACAAGATCGTCAAGCTAACAGTAGCAGGAGCGGCGGAAGTCGGAACTTGAAGCACTGCATGCTGCGAATGAATTGAGCCTTGGCTCATTATAAGCCCTGAGTCGAAGGCTTAGAGTTTAGGTTTAGGGTTTAGTGCTTGGTAGGGAATGGGGGAATGGATTATAGGGACTACTATAAGGGACCTTAAGGAACTATCATAGGGATCCATTCCCCCACTCCCGACTAAGCACCAGACAGTTTAGGGTCTAGGGTTTGGGGTATCGGCTTTGCACAGGCATGTTCCTTCAGTTCCGCTCGGTGAGCGGACAGAACGCCATACTTGTGACTACGTGCGCAGTTGCATGCCCATGTGTGTGTGTGTGTACTTTGTATGTACATAGGGGTGGCGAACTCAAGTGGACGATGGGTCGTTCATGCAATCCGCCCTGGTTTCAGTCAAATCCTGGTCAGGCCTTCCACCTCTAACAGAAACACTAAAACTACCCCTGTGAACCCGTACCTCTAAACAGTCGCGCTAGGTGGGAGGCAAAAAAACCCAGTCGCGCTAACTCCTACCTCAAACCTGGATCCTTGAAGCACGACGCTGAAACCCCAAGCGATGCCCCAACTACGAACTCACAGCCTCAAATACTAAATCTGACCGAATCCAATTGGGGGGCGGGGCGTTTTGATGTCTTAATAATAATACTTGGATCAGGGATCGTATTTTCAAGGAGTCTACAAGAAGTACTTTAAGGGTTTTGTACAGGGGCCTGACTAGTTAGAACAGGTTTTGGTGGTATATTACAGTACGACTGTATAAAAGGGTGGTGCCTCTACTACTGAGTGTTGAATCATCTGTGGTACTACTGTAGGTCACGGTACGAATGACTGCACGGAGCAGCACGCCACCGTGCTAAAAGTAATGCAAACCACTGGTTACAAGAACCTCCTACCTTAAAAGCGATTTCGATTTCAAGAGGGATCCGAATATAGGCTTGACGGAAAGGTGCTTGCTTAGGGTGCTTATTAATCATAATTAATCAGGGGTCCACATGAGGCAAAAAGGCATCAGGGCCCAGCGTTCCTGTACCAACCCCTAAAGCCTAAACCCTAAACCCAAAACCCCAAAGCTTAAAGCCTAAAGCCCTTTGCCCTGCCCGAAGCACAGGAGGGAGTTCGTGAACCAGAAAGAAGGCTCAGCATTGCGGGCTTGGTGCTACTCGGCAGGACTGAGGATCCATCGTTTAGGGTTTTCGGGTTTAGGGTTTAGGATTTTAGGGTTTAGGGATTGGTTTTGGGAGGGATTCGGGCTGATAGGGTCTAGAGGTTCGGTTGTAGTGGGTGTTAGGGCTTCGGGGGTTTAAGGTCTGGGGTTTAGGTTTTAGGCGGATCTACTTAGGGCTCCAAAGAGCCGTTACTTGAAGAGTCATAGTTTATCAGTAAGAGGTCATAACCGTTTGGGGCTACGTACTCCTTGGTGAGCTAGATAGCGCAACGCGATAGCTAAACAGACCTTCAGGAATTGAGGTGCAGTGGTTGCGTCAAGCCCCTCTCTCTACAGAACCGGACCCTAGCTTTCTCGTTTTGGAGCCTGCCATGCAACCCTAAACCCTAAACCATAAACCCGGCATGGGCCCGGTGGCTTCGTGTTCAAGAACTCAAGGCGCCTGTGTTTCGTTCTTTCACCTGAAACCTTGAACCCTAAACGCTAAACACTTACCCTAAACCCTAAACCCAAAACCCTTCTTCTGTTGGTTTCTTAGTCGGGAATGGGGGAATGGATCCCTATGATAGTCCCTTAAGGTCCCTTATAGTAGTCCCTATAACCCATTCCCCCACTCCGTACTAAGCACCAGACAGTCTTTTGAAGAGCTTTGGCTGTGGGCTGGGGAGCCGTTGATTCGACTGTACTCGATTTCAATTCGTCAGGCCGTGATCCCTCAAGGCCCTCACGGTGAACTCTCTAAGCCTTGCTCCTTACTATTACAATAAGAATGAGTATGGTATTATCGAAAACTAGAACAATTATAGGAAAAATAGACCCCAGAAGCCTTTCAGGTCACTGAAACCGTATAAAACCCACAGCAGAAACCTTAAGCAAAAAGGAACCCAAACTCAAGTATCAAGGCCCTTTCATCCCCCCCCCCACAAACCCTAAACCCTAAACCCTAAACCCCCATCCCTCCAAGGCAAGCACTTCGACCCCGACAACGACCAGAAGATCAGCCAGAGCCAGTTCTTGCGAGGCTTGGGAGAACCGACTCTGGGTTCGCTTGCTCAAAGGGCTTACCCTAAACCCTAAGCCCTAAACCCTAAACCCTAAACTCTTATGTAGTTCTGGAGAACCATGCTTGAATACTTGTTTTGGGGACCGGTTTCTAGGAGGAGCTACTATGAACTAAAAGTGTATGCTGTTTTCTCTCGGGCCACTTCCAAGCCCAGTTAGCGTTTAGGGTTGAGGCAGACCTGGACGTTTGACCTATCGTAGGGTCCTTCCCATGAGTGAATACGGTTCGCTTTGAAGGGACCCTAAACCCTAAACCCTATATAAGGGCTTCTGTCAGAAAGCTTTGGTGCTGAAGTTGAATGCCAGGCTCCGACAAAAAGTGCATTACTTACATCCATGCCGTTGCCTGCAGGAACTCAGGTTTAGGGTTTATGGTTTAGGGTCAGCTAAATACGAATCCCCCAACACCCGTAGCAAAATCTTACACACAATCCTTAGCCCTAAGCCCTCAAACCCCCACGGCCCATACTTTCGGGTGAGTCAGATCCCTTATCCCTTTAAGGTGACAAAAAGTCTTACAAACCCTAATATGGAAACATATCCTGGAAGAGTCTCGAGACAGCCTGCCAAGCCTTTCATCCCTGTACAAGCCGTAAGTTTAAGCCCTACACCCTAAACCCCTGAACACTTAAACCCTAAACCCCTTAACCCGAAACCCCACAGGAAACCCATTCTTGTACAAGCCGTAAGTTTAAGCCCTAAACCCTAAACCCCTAAACCCGAAACCCGACACGAAACCCATTCTTGTACAAGTCGTAAGTTTAACTCTGAAGCTGCCGAAGCCCCCCCCCCCCCGAAAACTTTGACCCTTTCAGGCACGAGTTGGATATACCCTGCACAAAAGACAAAACAAAGGTATATAACCCTTTCAGGCATGAGTATGATGGCCTACAGCCCTATATACACCCCTTCAACATCAAACCCTATTAGCCAAAGAAGCCCCAGCGCACCAAGCCATGTCAGGCATGAGTAATACCGGCTGCAATGGGCAGAATCCTAAGCCCAAGCCGAGTTGTAGTTGAACCTGTCGCCTGATTCCGCGCCTGCCTTGTGCGAGTCTGCGAGACGAAGCCCTAACCTAACCTTGTCAGGCATGAGTAAGATGGGCTGCAACGGAACGAACCCTAACCCCTGAAGCATAAAACCCTTACTAAACCATGTCAGGCATGAGTAAGATGGGCTACAACGGAGATGCTGCCGCGCTCTTCAAGTCGCTGGATGCCGACCGCTCTGGGGAGCTTTCGCTCGAGGTGTTCCATCGAAAAAAGAGTACCTTCGGAATTTCGGATGTTGGGGTTAGGGTTTAAGATTTTGGGTTTCAGGGAATTCCTATTGGAGGTTTCCTTAAAAACTGAAGGTTTCTATATTGTCTTGAATTTGGGCACGTTTAGCTTTCCTTAGTTTGGGGTTCAGGGTGTAGTTTATACTTTGGGTTGGGTTTAGGCCTGGGGATTTTTGGGTTTAGGGTGTATGGCTTAATGAGTGTTTGGGCGCAAGGCTTCCAAAACCGCCTTGATACTCAGCGAGCTAGGGGCGGTGTTGGTGTGCAAACCCTACAGCCTGCTGCTTTGGCACTGGCTTAAAGTGTTAGGGCTTAGGGCTTTGAAGGCAGTGGCAAGGTTCGCGCGTCGCTTGCTTTTGGAGAGCCCTAAACCCTAAACCCTAAGCCCTGAACCCTAAACCCTAAACCCTAAACCGTGGTTTTGTCCTTGCACTTTTGTCCAAACGTCATTTTCCAGACTGCACTTGCTTGGCAGTCCCGGACCCCTAAGCCATGAAGTCCAAATCTCGGAGCCATGAAACGTATAGTATAATGCAATTTAAGTTTAGGGTTTAGGGTTTAGGGTTTAGGGTTTAGGGTCACCTAGTCCGATCTCATCTGATATAACCTAGTCTTATCTTATCGAATTGAATCCTAATTCATATGGCGCCCTTAGATTCCTTAGATGCCCTTACACCTTAGCAAAGCCCCTCCCGAAACTCTGATCCCGGACAATCCCGATCGGAAGCTGCAGCGCGAGCCTGGGTTTAGGGTTTAATCTAGGAATCTGATTAAGAAACCCTGGCCCCTAATTAGGGTTCTTAATATGCACCCTAATATATTGGGGTTATTAGGGCCAGGGTTGCTTAATCAGGTTCCTGCATTAAGGTTCACGAACCTGTGTTAAGGGTTTGGGCTTAGGGTTTTCCTTGCTAAATAGTAGGTTAGCAAGAGGGGTCCGTCTACACTGCTACAGTCATGGAACTAGGTAACCGAAACCATGTTCAGAATGGTCTTTCGTGATGATTCCTGACTTTGTGAACATAACGGGACAACCCCTTCAGCCATGAAGGTGATTGGAGCCACAGGTGGAAGTTCAATCAGTCTGTCCCCCCTCAGACTTGAACTCCGGAAAGCCCTTAAAACGGACCCTAAACCGTTAACCCTGAAAGAAACCCTAGGACCAGGAACCTTTAAAGGCACCCCAAAAATGAACCCGAGCTCTGAAGCCCTGCGTCAGGAGATTGATGCGTACGCCTCGGGCCAATGGCGCCGCTTTCGGGTGTCCAGGATGCACGGCAGGACACGTTTCCGGGCACACGGCGTTAATATAGGAGCCTTAAATAATTACCTATACTATTTCGGGGGCTCCTTAGTATAGATATAGTATGACCTACCCCCAAAACCCTATTCTAATTATTAAGGCCCCTACCTTATGCCTCACACACTAAATCACGCACAGAAATCGACGAAACATCGAAACCACGTCGCTCCATGGGTCGACCCTGAAATCCTATTCCAACACCAGATCTTTTCCCTAATTTAGGAGCCCTTATAGTTACCAATACTATTTCGGGGGGCTCCCTATTTTAGTTATGGTATAAGAGACCCCATATCAAGGCCCCTACATTACTGGTTTCGACAAGTCTCGGATCATAACGAGCACCTTCAAATTCATTCGTAGCGGGGCGCTGAACTTCGATACACTCCATATCTTTGGCTACTCAGTCCAGAGTAGGGGGGCGGGTATGTATTGGTACCCCCAATTCTAGGACATTTTCAGGTGGGTAGTTACCGTTACAGGAGCCTTACAGAAGGTCTATATACTTCATAGAAGCCTTATAGAGGCCCTATATACCCCAAACTCCCCACCTGTAGTTTCATTTAACCAATGGCCCTACTGTGCATTGTCACTTTCCAAGAACAATGTCCTCGTGTTTAGGCAGAGTCTAGAGACCCCAGCTCAAACCGAGCTTTCAGCCCCGAAGATTTTATTCCTAAACCCTAAACTCTTATACTGTAAACCGTACACCCCTAAACCCTGAACCCCGAAAGCCCTAAGCCCCTAAACAACCCTAAACCCTAAGATCCTAGTCTTAAATTCTGAAACTCAAAGGATGCCCTCTTCCTTCGACTCTTAAGCCCGAAACGGCCCTAAACCTTCAGGGTTCCTTTAAGGGATCCTTTAGGGGATCTCTTTAGGTTTCCTTGAAGGGTTCCTATAAGGGTTCCTCTAAGGCTTCCTTTAAGGGTTCCTGTAAGGGTTCCTTTAAGGGTTCTTCTAAGGGATCGTTTGAGGGTTCTTCTAAGGGATCCTTTAAGGGTTCCTATAAGGGTTCTTTTAAGGGTTCCTCTAAGGTTTTGCTTTTAAGGGTGTTCCTCTGAGGGTTCTTTCAAGGTTTCTGAAACGGGTTCTTCTAAGCGTTCCTTAAAGGGTCTTGCGAGAACGTAAACCTTTTGCCAACACGACTTGGGGGACTTAGCATGCAACCGTTCCTACAGTGGGCAATTGCTTGAAGCTTTGCACCCCCCCCTTTAACCCTGAACCCTGAACTCTATAGCAACTGGATTACGGCCAAATAGTGTTGGGATTCCCTATATACGTTAGTCTTAAGGATTGAGGTTATTGGGTCTCCAACTTTTGGGCTTCTACTGTAAACCGAACGTGGCGATCGGTCGTAACGGACTCAGAAAACCCTGCAATGCAGGCTGGTCCTTGCGAGGGAGGACGCAAAAAACTCGGAAATCCTAAACCTAAGACCCTGAATCAAGAAAAAACCTCTTCAGGCCTTTTGTGTCCAGAACTTCGAGGACCCAGAGGACATGGTTCGACGTTTGGGGAAGAAGGCGGCACTGGGGAACAAAAAGTTTAGGAACGTAGGTTCATGTGATGTAGGGGCTTAAACTATTACCGATACTATTGTGGTGGCTACTGATTAGAACTATAGTCGGATATACCCCAAAGCCCTAGAGTAATAGTTAAGGCCCCGATATTGGGTTCATTTTGGTTTATAGGGTTTAAAGTTTATTGCTGTAGGGCTTGGTTCCGTTAGGGTTGAAGGTTTCTGCGCTGAGGGTTTATTGGTTTAACTGTTTAGTTGTTTAACGATTTTGAGGGGCACAGCGAGTCGGGTCCAGGATGTGCATTTTAGGGTGTGGGGCTTGCGGCTTGGAATTTGGCTAAAAATTACGCGGCTTGTATAGGGTCTAGGGTCTACACATCCAAGGCTTGTTGTCCGTGAGTTTAAGCAATTGTGCAGGTGTTTATCGACATTGGCCCGTCTGACCTGTTGCGATGGGGCTCTTATTACGCGGCGGACTGCAGATGCAACATAATTTCGATGATCTAACTCCTGCATTACCTTGAAGGACCCCAAACTATGGGAATAATGGCATAAATTCCTGATTATGGGTAATGCAGGTTTTTGGCTCACCCGTAGGATCACAGGATCTTCGGAGGTGCTCTGAAAAACACATCTCCCAGAGACTCCAATATCCCTTAATTAAGTAATATACCGTATATCATATTAAGGATCCTACTATAATTTGAGGAATACTCCTTAAGTAAGGGATATTGGAGTCTCTGGGCTTCCACATGGATCAGACTTGAAAGGCCTAGGGCCTGGGCTACTGCTGGGGATCCCAGACCCTGCTGTTTTAGTGGCTTTATTTTTCATATTTTATATTAAAGGAATCATAACCTACTACGTTGTAGGGTTCTGTGTTTTTTGGTGGGTTTATGTCTTGAAGGGATCACAACCTGTAGGGTTTAGGGTTTCGGGTTACAGGCTGCGCATCACGGAAACACACGGAGCTCATTCAAGCTTCTTCGAGGGCTTTAACAGCCAGAAAACTTGGGGCATCGTGATCCTAATGCCCTTGAGGTAAACGGACACGGAATCCTAGCACTATGCATCCTTGATCCATGCTTCAATTTTCTAGTGTCGTCTGTAGCGTGGGGAGTTAAGCGTTCTGGCCATAGGCCAAAGCAACATTCATGACCCAACAGCCAGGTGGAGATCGAACAACGTCGGGGCGGAGCACAGGACAGGGCTGTCAGAAGAAGATAGGGACAAGCTTCGGGGATGCGATCTTATGTTGATTAGTGTTCATTCACCAAGCCATCATGAGGCGCTTATATAGAATAAAGAAAGTCTTCGGGGCAATCATCGACTTCGCCGGACTTGCACCGTCAATTGTAAAGTTGGTACGGTTGTATTCCAGAAAGAGGTTGGGAGCAGTAGCAGAATCTCCGCATATACCGTACCACCTCCGTGTTGTAGGTCCCGCGTTGTCAGGATCCTTGGCAACAAGCCCTAAGGCTCCATGTGCCCATACAGTAGATACTTAAGCCTTAAAGTACCTATATATAGACCCCTTTAAGGCCTAAGTATCTACTATAAAGGTACATGGAGCCTTTGGGAAGTCGGAGGGTCATGTTCGTTCCTTTTATGCCATGTCCCAACGTTGTGGCCTTCATTGTAGCAGCACGGCCTGGTCGCTCGAACTTGGTGTGTTGCTGGCTCTTCTTTTGCCATGGTCGCACTTGGCACTCGCGGTGCAAAAGGGTTTGCTTTAGAGATTCAGAGACACAAGCATGTACGCAGATATGCAGATTGAATGCCTTTAGGCATAAAGAGCTTCAAACCCTAAACCCTAAAGGCCCTATATAAACCCCCAAGCCCAAGATCCTCAGCCATACATCGGTCCTCAACCCGTCGCTCTAAGCGCCCCGAAGCATTACGGTCTCACGACCTTCGCTCTTAGGCAATTAGATGTATTGGGGTAAGCCCGCAGCCCACATGATATAGGGGCCTTAGTAATTAGAATAGGGCTGTGGGCACCAATATATACGATACTTATATTCTTGGTAACTAGATTAGGGTTTTGGGAACCAATATATACTGTACTTATATTGAGGAGCCCTCAAAATAGGAGTGGTAGTTATTTAGGCCCCTACCTTGAACACAAACAGGCTCCCCGGGTCCCCAACCTTACCGGTCTCTTCGGCGAGGGGTGTGGCTCCGCAGGGTTTAATGTAGGGGAAACGATAATTACCTATGTTTTTTTTTGGGGGGGGGTCCTTTTTATAGTTGTAGTATAATGTGCCCCAAAACCCTATTCTAATTATTAAGGCCCCTACATTAGGCGCGAGATTAAAGGCGACGCTTGCTCATCTAGGTTTTCATGCATGTACATTCATTAGCAGGTCTTGCAAGGTGGTCCAGACGTTTGGACCGTCACACAGGCGCAGCATCTTGCCTTGATGGTCGCAGGTGTGGTGTTATGCGTGCCCAGGTGTCCTTGACACCGACATGGAGTAGCCTTCTATGGCACCGTTTCACGGGAAAACGTAACTAGCCTCGTCCTCGCTTCCCGCAACAATCGCTAGAGTAGCCTTATGCTTTACCCTTGACCGTAAACCCCAAATCCGAAACCCCCAACTCTAAACCCCGAATTCCCTAAACCCCTGCATATTTCACACGGCCGACACAATCGCCTGGATTGTCGAAGTGTGAGCGCCGAAACCCCTAAACCGTGCCTTGAGCTCGGAAAGACGGCTAGCATCACCTTCAGAGCGGCAACAGTGTTGAACATTTGCGGTTCAGAGTTCGAGGCACTATACCTATATCCTAAGCCCTAAACTGCCCTAAACCCTAAATAAACCCTAAACCCTAAATAGATTTCTGAGACGCTTCAGCAGACTGTAAAACAGGTGCTCAACAAATACAATCTTCAGGGCAGTTCCCTTTTTGGGTTGGCTTATAGAATCCTAAAAACGGAATTGGTGAAACCCGCACAAAAGGAACTACCATGAAGACGACAGGTGAACCGCCATTGACCCGAAGTAGCCCTAAACCCTAAACCCCCAAA